ACTTTGTAGATATTTACTTAAAGATGTTTCATGCTTAATATCTAAACTCTAGCTATTTGGGTTTTTCGAAAGAAGATTTTTAAGTTTTTGCTATACACATATAAGGAAAATCAATGACCCCCCCCCCCCCCCGGGCGGGGCCAGTTTTGATCCCAGGGCTTTTATTTGAACATACTTGGTAGACACCCATTAGAACATGTTTCATGCTAAATATCTTAGCTCTAGCTCTTTGAGTTCTTTAAAAGAGGATTTTTTAAGTTTTTACTATATGCATATAGGGAAAATCAATGACCCCCTGGGGCGGGGCCAATTTTGACCCCAGAGCTTTTATTTGAACAAACTTGGTAGACACTCATTAGAAGATGTTTCATGCTAAATATCTTAGCTCTAGCTCTTTGGGTTCTTTAAAAGAAGATTTTTTAAGTTTTTACTATATGCATATTGGGAAAATCTATGACCCCCTGGGGCAGGGTCAATTTTGACTCCAGGGCTTTTATTTGAACAAACTTGGTAGACATTCACTAGAAGATGTTTCATGCCAAATATCTAAGCTCTAGCTCTTATGGTTCTTTAAAAGAAGATTTTTAAGTTTTTATCATATACATATAGGGAAAATCAATGACCCCCGGGGCGGGGCTAATTTTGACCCCAGGGCTTTAATTTGAACAAACTTGGTAGACACTCACTAGAAGATGTTTCATGCTTAATATCTTAGCTCTAGCTCTTTGGGTTCTTTAAAAGAAATTTTTTTAAGTTTTTACTATATGCATATAGGGAAAATCTATGACCCCCTGGGGCGGGGTCAATTTTGAACCCAGGGCTTTTAGTTGAACAAACTTGGTAGACATTCACTAGAAGATGTTTCATGCCAAATATCTAAGCTCTAGCTCTTATGGTTCTTTAAAAGAAGATTTTTTAAGTTTTTACTATATGCATATAGGGAAAATCAATGACCCCCGGGGCGAGGCCAATTTTGACCCCAGGGCTTTAATTTGAACAAACTTGGTAGACACTCACTAGAAGATGTTTCATGCTTAATATCTTAGCTCTAGCTCTTTGGGTTCTTTAAAAGAAGATTTTTTAAGTTTTTACTATATGCATATAGGGAAAATCAATGACCCCCTGGGTCGTGGCAAATTTTTACCCCATGGCTTTTATTTGAACAAACTTGGTAGACATTCACTAGAAGATGTTTCATGCCAAATATCTAAGCTCTAGCTCTTACGGTTCTTTAAAAGAAGATTTTTTAAGTTTTTACTATATGCATATAGGGAAAATCAATGACCCCCAGGGGGGGGGCCAATTTTGACCCCAGGGCTTTTATTTGAACAAACTTGGTAGACACTCACTAGAAGATGTTTCATGCCAAATATCTAAGCTCTAGCTCTTATGGTTTTTTAAAAGAAGATATTTAAAGTTTTTTCTTTTGGTTGCCATGGCAACCAGAGTTCTGCATGGAATTAAATTCTTTGAACAATTTTTAAAGGTGACCACCAAAGGAACATTCCTGTGAAGTTTGGATGAAATTGGCTCAGTGGTTTATGAGGAGATGTCATTTAAAGCAAAAGTTTACGGACGGACGGACGGACGGACGCCGGACGAAAAGCGATCACAAAAGCTCAGCCTGTCACTTTGTGACAGGTGAGCTAAAAATGGTTCTTCGCTAATTTTTAATCTACATTATTCTTTAGTTGTCTGAATACTGTCTATTAGTATGTATCGCGTCTATTTAAAAATAATTAAATTAACCTGGTCGGATAGGATACAAAAATATGTTACCCTTCTTATTTCGGGTGCCATGTTCGTGCACTAAAACTTTTTGTAGGATTTAACTTTCACAACAGAAACCTGACGTTAGAAATTCCCAACAAAATTAATACTAAATTATCATGCAAATCTGACAAGAAATATATATAGAAAGGGGAACTGATTCACTATATTTGCACAATGTCTACGTTAACTAGGCTAATCTCATTCCTTAATGGGAGATCACAGACTCTTGTGCAAGGATGCTTTCTAGTTTGAGCAACCAAACGTAGACTTATACACTTTTTGCTCGTAAATACAGATTTAATTTTCCGTCTCACAATTTAACAAAATGTCCAGAAATACCGGCAGTTATTTGATATTATTAAGAAAAAGCTTAAATTCGAGTGTTCAATAAGGGACAATAAGTTTTGTTGCTGTTTCTTTTGTAGACTCAAAGTGTTACATCTGTGAAGGGGTGATCGAGTCAAAGAGAGACACAGAGTGGTGTCCTCAATAATTTTAGCCTTCATTAAAAAATGGAAAATAGTCTGTGAAAAAAAAATAAGGAGGCAGTACACAGTTTCGGTCGTTTAGTTTCAATTGGCCAGGGTCAAATTTACAAATAAGAGACAGTTTTGAAATTGAAGTGGATATTTGAGGTTCTAAATGTTTAGAGTTACTATATTTCAAGTTTCAATGACTAGTACTGTGTTTCAGTTATTTAGTAAAATTAAATTTAGTGGCGTTGACCCTTGCATTTGGAGAGAGTTCCTGTCGGATGCGAATGTGTAGTTTTTTGAGATAGCCGGTGAATCAGCTCTTCAATTTAAAGGGTATGCAGAAGACTTAGAATAGTGAAAAAAGTAGGTGGATGGCACCCTGTTTGGATGTTATTTTCAGATTGTGCATTGTTCAAGAAGGAAGAAACACTATAGCTTGTGATCTAATTTTTTGACGTTAATATATTGTTGTATTTTGCGAATAGGGATAATCCGCTCTATTGGTCGTTGATTTTTGCGACCAAAACAATGAACAAGAGGCCATGATGGCCCTGAGGTCGCTCACCTGTATAAAGCCACCCGGAGCGGGGCCAGTTTAAACCCCAGGGCTTTTATTTGAAGGCAACCATTAGAAGATGATTCACGATGTTAAGTTTTTACTACACACATATAATGAAAAAACAAAGATCTACCGCTTTTATTTGAACAAACTTGGTAGACACCCATAAAAAGATGTTTCATGCTAAGCATTTAAGCTCTAGCTCATTGGGTTTTTTTAAAAGAAGATTTTTTAAGTTTTTACTATACACATATAGTTAAAAACAATGACACCCCTGGGGCGGGGCTAATTTTGACCCCCGGGCTTTTATTTGAACAAACTTTGTAGACAATTACTAGAAGATGTTTCATGCTTAATATCTAAACTCTAGCTATTTGGGTTTTATCAAAGAAAGTTTTTGCAATATACATATAAGGAAAATCAATGACCCCCGGGGCGGGGCCAATTTTGACCCCAGGGCTTTTATTTGAACAAACTTGGTAGACACTAATTAGTACATGTTTCATGCTAAATATCTTAGTTCTAGCTCTTTGAGTTCTTTAAAAGAAGATTTTTTAAGTTTTTACTATATGCATATAGGGAAAATCAATGACCCCCTGGGGCGGGGCCAATTTTGTCCCTAGGGCTTTTATTTGAACAAACTTGGTAGACACTCATAAGAAGATGTTACATGTTAAATATCTTAGCTCTAGCTCCTTGGGTTCTTTAAAATAAGATTTTTAAAGTTTTTACTATATGCATATAGGGAAAATCAAAGACCCCCTGGGGCGGGGCCAATTTTGACCCCAGTGATTTTATTTGAACAAACTTGGTAGACATCCATTAGAAGATGTTTCATGCTAAATATCTTAGCTCTAGCTCTTTGGGTTCTTTAAAAGAAGATTTTTTAAAGTTTTTACTATATGCATATAGGGAAAATCACCCCTGGGGCGGGGCCAATTTTGACCCCCGGGCTTTTATTTGAACAAACTTTGTAGACAATTACTAGAAGATGTTTCATGCTTAATATCTAAACTCTAGCTATTTGGGTTTTATCAAAGAAAGTTTTGTAATATACATATAAGGAAAATCAATGACCCCCTGGGGCAGGGCCAATTTTCACCCCAGGGCTTTTATTTGAACAAACTTGGTAGACACTTACTAGAAGATGTTTCATGCCAAATATTTAAGCTCTAGCTCTTTGGGTTTTTTAGAAGAAGATGTTTAAAGTTTTTTCTTTTGGTTGCCATGGTAACCAGAGTTCTGCATGGAATGGAATTCTTTGAACAACTTTGTTAAGGCTTCACACAAGGAACATCCCTGTGAAGTTTCATTATGATCTGCCTTATGGTTTCAGAAAAGATGTCGTTTGAAAAGTGTGAACGGACAACGGAGGACGTACGACAGACGACGGACGAATAGTGATCCTAATAGCTCACCCTGAGCATATGCTCAGGTGAGCTAAAAAGGTAGTGAAGGGTCATGGACATAGGTAGTATTACATACTTACAAATTTAAGGGGCCATTTTCTGTTGCTTCATAGAGGGCTATTGTCCCCTTCTTTAACTGTTATTGAATGAACTTCTATGTTCTCTTTTGATCTGTTTACATTTAGATGGCCCCCTATTTAATTTCTGTAGTTCAAACAGATATAGACAGCTATTTGCTCTTCCCCGATAAATTGGCAAAGTGAAATAATGCAAACCTCAACCAATGTGCATTGGCATTAGTTGGAATAGAAGTAAAGGCATACAAGCAGAACCTGTTACATAAACAAACACATCCCAGGAACTGAATTTTGAAAGTACCCAATTTGCCAAAAATAAATGACTCATCACTCAGTTAAGGAAGGGGGAGAGTTGTTCATGAAGATAATTTTTTTTAAAAAGTTTTGGAACTTGACAGAATTATGCCCCTTTAATGATCAAGATCTGATATGACCATTATTATTAAATTTTCAGACAAGTCAATTGATAATCTTAAGCAAAGCAAAGATCCATGTCTGTGAACAGTATAATATTGCTGTACTAATTATAATGGTGTACTTAAATTGCATTCTTTATATTCAAAAAGAGGATTCTGATCATATGCCTAAAACATTTGATACTCACTGTGACTGACACCATAAATTTGTTAACACTCTCTGAAATTAAGTTTCTTTTTCTAAAATGCTGGCTGCTTTTTAATTATATAATCATCTTAAAACCACTTACAGTTAACAATCACATTCAATTCTTCTTCTTTTACAAAGTCATCACTTGTATAATGATTTGATGTTGCTGTAGCTCTACATGTGTATTTCCCATGATTTGTTCTATCTATATCATCAAATAACAAAGTAGGGCCTCTAGGCTGTTGTCCAACTGTCCAGTTTACAACTGGGATAGGGTTACCTGTAGCATTGCATGTAGCAGACAAAGTTTGACCCTCATCTTTTGTTATTGTATTGACTTGTTTACTATCCACTAGTATCTGCATTCTGGGAAAATCTGCATTACAAACATATATTTACGTGTCAGATTAAAAAAGAAAAGATGTATATACAGTTATTTTATTTTGAGGTATTTTTTTTTTAGACCGATGTAAGCTGGAAAACTTTCAAGCCTATGTCCTGCATGAAATGTGATATAATAAATGATAATAGTTTTACCTCCACTGGCTCTAACTGCCAATCTCTCGAAAAGATTTGCACAGGCCCTCTGAATTCAAGCGAATAAAGTTTGACTGTATGTTTAGATAGGTTAGGTGTACTTTCATTTTTACAAACCTTTGGCAAAGTTAAATACAAAAGATTTGTTCAAAACGATTGCCAAATCAAGACAAACATAATTATGATACTTAAAAGCCAAGAAATCATCAAGAAGAATTATTTAACATGCTAATGGAAACAATTACTCATAAAGGAGTCTTATACTGGCAGGAATATCTAGATCAAAAGTAACTTTTTACAGTAGTAACAAGACACTGCCAAGTATCTACAAAACAGTTAACACAGTTTCAAATTTAATACTGTCTAAGATGACAAATTACTATATATATATATCCTGGACATGATGGCCCTAAATCCCTCACCTGAGACGCATTGCTAGAAAATGTATGGGCTTGGGGTTACACATGACATGTTGTCCAATAATTGTGACCATTTGTGCCAAATAATTTCAAAATCCCTGGAACAATAAAACAAGAGGGTCATAAGAAGGCCATAGATTGTGCACCTGACCCATCAAACTCATCCGAGAAATTACCTAGACAAGCATCCTGACCAAGTTTCATGACAGTTTATTCAATAATGTGACCACTGGCAAGGTTGCCAGCACCATAGATAAATAAAATTCCCCGACTTTTCCCAGACTTTCACTGAATAAATTTGGTTTTTCACTGACCAAAACTACCAAACTTAAACAGCCTCCACCTCCCCTACAGCTGTCCAATCCATCCATAAGTTTTTTTTTTTTAATTCTTTATACAATATGGTATTACATTATTGAAACAAACCTTAGACATTTGGATCAAAACAGTAGCCACCAGAGTGTTTACAAGCTTTTTTCTATTTTGAGCTCCTGTGACCTAGTTTTTCATCCGAGATGACCCGTGTTCTAACTAATCCGAGCATTTACCTAGACAAGCATCCTGACCAAGTTTCATGATGATTGAGTAAAAAGTGTGACCACTAGAGTGTTAACAAGGTTTCTCTATTTTTAGCTCCTGTGACCAAGTTTTTCATCCGAGATGACCCATGTTCTAACTCATCCGAGCAATCCGAGCTCAGGTGAGCTAAAAAATTGTGGTCTGGACTCAAAATATACACTACAACAGTACATATTAAACTTTGACCTTCAATAGTGACCTTGACCTTGGAGGTAGGAGTCCAGGTGATGCTCATGACACTTCCTCTTATTAATGTGAACATTTGTCCGAAGTTAGTTATTTGAAAAATTCCTTGATTGATAAAAAATATGGAACAAAAAACAAAGATTTGGTGTTTTAAAGCTTGTAAATCATTTTTACAAAGGATGTTATATTTTGTAATAAAAAACAAAAGAAAATCAATGCTGTGATGCCAGTATTTATTTGATGACTTCTTTGTTTTTATGCATCACCAATGTCCTGTATTAAAAATAAAAATAAAATGTTTATAACATGTACAAACTAGAAATGTTTCTATAGGACAAAGGTGCCCCCACACTCCACTATGTTTTCATTCTTTTGACTCTAGGTCAATTTTTTTGGGCTACACATCACACAAATTGAAGCTGAAAATCTTTTACTAAGTCAATGACAAATACTGAATAAATCCACTAGCAAATCCTACGGTGCATTACTACACATGCTGACCAACATTCTTGTATATTTTCAGGACTAGAGGTCAAATACTTCTTGAGCTATACAAAAACATGTCTATTATTTATACTATGTCAAGGGTGATTACTCTTACTGAAAACTAGAAATGTGTCCTTAGGATACGGGTACCCCCACACACCACTTTTCTGTCAATCTTATGACTCTAGGTGAAATATTTTTTGGACTACATGTGCCACAAGTTGAAAACTAAAAGTCTTTTACTAAGTAAAGGCCAAGAACTTTACAAAAACTGAATAAATCCACAAGCAAACCCCAAGGTGCATAAGTACACATATGCTGACCAACATACCTTTAAATGTTCAGGCCTACAAGTCAAATACTTTTTGAGCTATGCATGAACAAGTTAAAAATTGCAAATTTATACTACAGTAAGTCAAGGGCAATAACTCTAACAAAACTGGAAAAAAATCCACATGCAAAGTCCCAGGTGCATAGCTTCACAGTGATGTTGATCAGTATTCCTGTAATTCAGTGATGATGATCATTATTCCTGTAAAGTTCGGACACAAGTTGAAAATTGCAAAATTTAACTAAGTCAAGGGCAATAACTCTAAAAATACTATATAAATCCACATGAAAATACCCAGGTGAACAACTACACATGCTGATCAACATTCCCGTAAAGTTTCATGACTCTCGGTCAAATACTTTTTGAGTTACATGCGATACAAAAGGGAACGGACTGACAGACAGAAGGATGAACGGAAGGACTGGCGAGGGTAAATCTAAATGCCCCCCTAAAGTGGGGGCACAAAAATCCACATGCAAAAACACCAAGTGCACAGCTTCACAGTAATGTTGATCATCATTCTTGTAAAGTTGGTTGATTTCAACTCAAGCAATCAAGGTACATTTTGGAATGGTTTTTACTAAGTCAAGGGCAATTATTCTACAAATACTGAATAAATCCACAATCAAACCCCAGGTGCACAACAACATATGCCAACCAACATTTCTGTAAAGTTTCAGGGCTTTAGATGAAATACTTTTTGAGATATACAGGACACAAATTGAGAATAGCAAATTTTTACTAATTCAAGGGCAATAACTTTAGAAATAGTTATCAAATCAACAACCCAAAGCCCTGGTGCACAACTACACATGCTTAACCAACATTCCTATAAAGTTTCATGACTAGGTCAAATATTTTTTGAGCTGTGACACAAATGAAAATTGGAATTTTTTACAAAGTCAAGGGCACTAACTCTGACAAAGCATGATTAATCCACAAGCAAAACAACATGTATTTTTGGAGCTATGTGCTACACTTAGTCAAGGGGAATTTCTGCACAATTTCTGAATTAATCTTCAAACAAACCCCCAGGGCACAAGAACACATGCTGACCAACATTCCTATTATGTTTCATGACTCAAGGCCAAACACTTTTTGAGCTACACACAACACAAATTGAAAATTGCAAATTTTTACTAAGCCAAGGGCCATTCCTCTGACAAAACAGAATAAATCCACAAGTGAAACATCAGGTGCATAATTTCACATCCTTAGCAACATTCCTGTAAAGTTTCTTGACCCTAGGTCTAATACTTTGTGAGCTATGTGCGACCCAAGTTGAAAATCGCAAATTCTAACTCAGTCAAGGGCAAAAACCCTACAAATACTGAATAAATCCACACACAAACACCTAGATGCCCAACTACACATGCTGATCAAACATTCCTCTAAAGTTTCATGACAATAGGTCAAACACTTTTTGAGCTACATGTGACACAACATGAGAACAGACTGACGGACAAGGCCAAATCTAAATCTCCCACCCCCTATAGTGGTGGCACAAAAATTATGAAAACATTCTTACATTCCACTTGTAATAGAACTTGTTTGGACTGGATTTGAAGACCTTTCCTCTTAGTAAATAAATTCTTCAACTGACATTTTACTGGACTTCTATCAACTTGATACGTTAGCTTAGGTAACTTTAGTTTCCTTGTATCAGCACTATCAGGTGTTCCATATTGTTTGGTCCATGTTGCTGTAGATGTAGGATTACCATAATCAGATGAGGAACAATCAATACTCTTTCCTGTCTGACCTTCTAGGAATGGAAAACTATCATTCTTAATTTGAGGTTGTGACGGAGGCCCTATAAATATGTAAAATAACAAATTGAACAATACGTTGTTAATAGTTCAACAGCATTATAATGACCTATTTCATGATCATATATACTTTTAACAGCAAAACAAAGTACATGTAATCTTCATGTAAAATTTTCATTCATTTTTTTAAATAGTTCAGTAAACATCTTTTCTCATACATTGTAAATATATTAAATAAGAAGAATCCAACAGAATGAAATTCAGATTAACTATCCATAAGGATTGCATAAAAAGGTGTTTACTATTTTTAGGGCACTGGCTTCAATAATGGAACAAAATATGTAAATATATGCAGATTGATATAAGTGATTCTGTTTAAAGTGCCACATTTATAAATCATTAACAACAAATAAACAAGATATGTTTGTAAAACATGTATGCCCCCTATCGGCAGCCAATTTATGTGATCAGTGATCAGGTTATTATGCATGAATTCTGACCCAGTGAACAAGCAATTAATAAGGGTTATCTAGTATCTACTGGTCATGACTAGTCACAAGGTAATAATTATTGTGACCCCATAGGTTGTGTGCAGCAATTAAAGTTATTAAAAATCTAACCAAATAATATATACATAAATTTTATAAATCACATAGGCCTCATTAATGACAGCCAAATTGTTATATTACATAAGACCTTCAATTGTGTATACCAAAAGCACATAAAAATATCAACCAAGGCAACTTGAGTTGTTCAGTTATTGGTCAGAAACGGTCATTAAGTACAAAGTCACTATGACATTGACCCCTTGACCCCAAAATCAATACGGGTCATCTACTGGTCATGACCAATCATCATACCAAGTTTGAAATTCCTAGGCCTAAGCGTTCTTTAGTTATTGATCGAAAACCGTTTAAACCTACAACGTCAATGGACCTTGACCTTTGACCCAAAAATCAATAGGGGTCATCTGCTGGTCATGACTAATCATCATACCAAGTTTGAAATTCCTAGGCCTAAGCGTTCTTTAGTTATTGATCAGAAACCGTTTTTACCTACAAGGTCAATGTGACCTTGACCTTCCCCCCTTGACCCCAATATCAATAGGGGTCATCTGCTGGTCATGACCAATCATCTTACCAAATCTGAAGTCTCTGGGCCTAAAGGTTTTTTAGTTATTGATCAGAAATCGTTTTTACCTACAAGATCAATGTGACCTTGACCTTTGACCCCTAAATCAATAGGGGTCATCTGCTGTTCATGACGAATCATCATACCAAGTTTGAAGTACCTAGGCCTAAGCGTTCTTTATTTATTGATCGGAAACCGTTTTCACCTACAAGGTCAATGAGACTTTGACCCCTTGACCCCAAAATCAATAGGGGTCATCTGCTGGTCATGACCAATCATGATACCAAGTTTGAAGTACCTAGGCCTAAGTGTCCTTTATTTATTGATCGGAAACCATTTAAACCTACAAGGTCAATGTGACCTTGACCTTTGACCCCAAAATCCATAGGGGTCATCTGCTGGTCATGACCAATCATCATACCAAGTTTGAAATTCCTAGGCCTAAGCGTTCTTTAGTTATTGATCAGAAACCGTTTTTACCTACAAGGTCAATGTGACCTTGACCTTCCCCCTTGACCCCAATATCAATAGGGGTCATCTGCTGGTCATGACCAATCATCTTACCAAGTTTGAAGTCTCTAGGCCTAAAGGTTCTTTAGTTATTGATCAGAAATCGTTTTTACCTACAAGATCAATGTGACCTTGACCTTTGACCCCTAAATCAATAGGGGTCATCTGCTGTTCATGACCAATCATCATACCAAGTTTGAAGTACCTAGGCCTAAGCGTTCTTTATTTATTGATCGGAAACCGTTTTCACCTTCAAGGTCAATGTGACCTTGACCTTTGACCCCTTGACCCCAAAATCAATAGGGGTCATCTGCTGGTCATGACCAATCATGATACCAAGTTTAAAGTACTTAGGCCTAAGTGTTCTTTATTTATTGATCGGAAACCGTTTTCACCTACAAGGTCAATGTGACCTTGACCTTTGACCCTTTGACCCCAAAATCAATAGGGTTCATCTGCTGGTCATGACCAATCATCATACCAAGTTTGAAGTATCTAGGCCTAAGCGTTCTTTAGTTATTAATTGGAAAAGGTTTTTACCTTAAAGGTCAATGTGACCTTGATCTTTGACCCTTTGACCCCAAAATCGATAGGGGTCATCTGCGGGTCATGAACAATCACCATACCAAGTTTGAAGTTCCTAGACCTAAGAGTTCTTTAGTTATTGATCGGAAACCCTTTTTACCTACAAGGTCAATGTGACCTTGACATTTGACCCCTTGACCCCAAAATCAATAGGGGTCATCTGCTGGTCATGACCAATCACCATTTCAAGTTTGAAATTCCTAGGCCTAAGCGCTCTTTATTTATTGATCGGAAACCGTTTTAACATACAAGGTCAATGTGACCTTGACCTTTGACCCCTTGACCCCAAAATCAATAGGGGTCAGCTGCTGGTCATGACCAATCATCATACCAAGTTTGAAGTTCCTAGGCTTAAGGGTTCTTTAGTTATCACTCGGAAACCATTTTGTCTACGGCCTGACGGACAGACGGACCGACGGATCGACAAGTGCAAAGCAATATACCCACTCTTCTTCGAAGTGGGGGCATAATAAATAATAATAAAAAAAACACAATTTTGTTACAGGCAGTGCATTAAATTATTTTTGGGAAAAGCTGAGATTTTTCTTCTTAACATTTTTAAACCAGAGTAAAATCCTAATTTGTTTGTAAGTTTATTCATACTGTTACAATGTATGCATTTGTAAAAAATACCTACGGCAGTACATTGTTGTTAAGCTTACTCCCCTATGTATTAAAATACAGAAATGGGTACTTCTCCATTTTCCTGTTGTTGCTTTTGAACCAATATTTATGTATCAGAAATGACGTTTATCCAAAATCCAGTACAATGCCATAAAAAATGTCATTTGTTTAAGCATTGATAGTGTTATTTTGAATCTATTTTGCAACTAGCTTTAATAAACAAATGAATTAGCTACTCTTTGAACTTGAATATGCAGAACATTATGTGTCTAAATGAAAATTATGTGACATATATAACAATTATCAAACACAGTCTTCTTTGCCTTTTACAAAGATGAGTGAATTTTTCTATTAGGCAAAAGCAAGTACATGTATACAGCAGGTTTTGCTTAATAAATATTTCACTGGAAAAAATATATTTGATCGTACCTATTTTCATGGCTATTTACATTTTTCATGTACATGTTGCAAATGCTGGAGATTGCAAACTAAATCATCTTTTACATGGTCAGTGCAGATCATTGTCTACATCAATAAGCAAAATAGCACATCTTTAATTAGTCTGACGCAGTCAATTAACTGTCAAGTAATTGATCTGTCTCACACAACTGCTGTCTGCATATTAATGCTAACTGCACTGTCACTTTCTGGGATAAAATATTTTTCGGCAAATTTATTTCACTTTGCTCTCATAAAAGAGCGAAAACATGGGAAACACAATTTAACACTTGCATCACATTAAGACATTGGTGATCACCTATTTAAATTTAGGTTTCTGTTACACAGGAGAACTGTTCATAGCGTAATCACGATTTCTTGAAATTCTATTTGCATGATTTTTACGAGTTATTTACGCATCTTATCTGGAGCCCTGTAAAGGCATTTAAAACTTATTATTTCATTGGAACTATATCCCTTTAGTTAAGTTACAAAGATAAAACCCACAACATTTGTGATTTTTTACGTTGATTATTATGGGATGTAACATCAACATTGGTTTCACCAAAACCACTGCCTAATAATAGCTTAATAATACAAATGTTTATCTACAGTTGCTATGTTGATTGCATTCACAATGAGTGGTAGTCGTTTTATGATTTACTATAAGAAAAACAAACGTTTCTTATATTGATAACTGGCACTATCAAATCATTTCAATCTCAAGCAAATAAATACAAAAAGCCATTCTATGTTTTCATATGTTCCCTAAAATACAGTTTTCTACTGTTTATAAACTGGTCGTAACTTTATCATGTGTAGGTCTATACACAAATGAATAAATCTTAGTTTCTAGATCAGATAACAGGATCGATACAAACTTTATTTAACAATTAATGAAACTATCAACAAAACATATATCAGATTCATTTTAATGAGGTTTGGCCTTAAATAAAATTACTTACAATATACAGCCATCTTTTCTTGAGCCTTTGATAAATTACTTTGTTCAGGTATTGTAGTTTCACAAGAAATTGTTTTGTTGTTATCAGTTCTGTTGGCAGTAAATGTTACAATACTTATAACAGATTTAAGATCATTCTCATGACTTTGTTCTGTATTTTCCGGATCACTCAATATTTGAGTTCCAATCTTCCATGTAACTATAGCAACAGGTCTTGTATGAGAAGAAGTGCACTGATATTTTATTTGATCCCCTTCTAACTTTTCTGTTGTCAGGTCTGTGATTGTAGGAGTGGTAGCTAAAACTGAAATTATGAGAAAACTTGTTAAATTAAAAGTGAAAACGTGTTTTACCTAATCAAAGAGAGGAAGACATTTTAGATACACAACAAAAATATATATTAAAGTGATAGAACTAGTAGAATCCATCTCTAAATAACAAGGATGATATTAAAGTAAATTTTCTATAAAAATGTCTATGCATATACTTTTTTTTATTTACAGCTAGAACTTTGATTCATCACATGAGGCAAAGTAATGATATACCAGTATGTTATCTGAATTTTCACTCTGCCAAAAATTCACTTTTAAGGAGCTATTTGGTTAATTTGGAATTAACAGTCTAAATGATCAAGATTTCTTTTATCTTTTAGCAGTCTACAATTTAGATTTATAACAAATAACAGTTGGGAAAAAACCCATAAAAGGCATTGATTTTGCAATATTATACATGTACTTAAAATAAACTGTATTGGTTATAATATACATGAATTGTACTTAAAACAATTTGTGTTTGTTAACAATTGAGTGAATGCTTAAATGTTGAACACAATATTAACCAACTTGAAGAATATAACCAATTTTTTCAAAGTCCAATTGATGAAATACGTAAATCTTGTGATAAGACTATAAATTCGCAGGGTAAATTATTTATTGAAATGTGTAAAGTGTATTCTTTATATATCATGAATGGGCGTTTTGGACAAGACAAAAATTATGGTCATTTTACGTATACTTCTACTTTGGGCTGCAGTGTAATTGATTATGCATTATGCTCAGAAGATTTGATAAGTAATATTACAGATTTTAAAATTGATGAAAGGGCGAATCAAAGCATTTTCCATTAAATATAAAGCTGAAAATGTATAAAAATGAAAGAGAAAAATTAAATGCCCAGGGAATAACAATTTTATCTTTTACAAAATCCCATATAGTGATAAGAATGTTTATCAAGAGAAACTGAGTGAATTATTCACAAAAGATGTAATGTTGAACTTTTGTAAATCCATTGAGGACACTCAAGTTGGGATCGATGATATTGTATCTAATTTTTAGTACATGTCTAACTGATATTGGTAAGCATTTTCAAAAAAAAGTCAAATTTTAAGCTTCCTTCATCACCAAAATGGTTCGATTTAGATTGTAAGATTTTAAAAAATCAAAAATATAAACTGTTAAGACAATATAGGAATTGTAGGTCTGACATAAATTTGCAAAGATATCTTTTAAAACGAAATGAGTTTAAAAACAAGTGTAATTTGAAGATGCGAGAATACAATAAACAAAAACCTTGATGACCTGACAGCAAAAGTTAACGATCCTAAGTCATTTTGGTCAAAACTTAAATCTATGACTGGCAAGAAAAGTAGGACAGTAAACAATATTTCTACCCAGGAATGGCTTGAATATTTTACAGGCCTGCTAAACCCTTATGAATGTGATGAAAATACTGGTGAAAATTTAGAAATTGATAAATGAAGAAATAGATAATGAAGTTGATCAATACATTTTTAATTCTGAGATCACTGAAGATGAAGTAAGAATGGCTGTAAAGCATATTAAAACTGGTAAAAAAAACCAGGTCCTGATAATCTAATCCCAGAGTTTTTCATTTACGGTATAGATAGCTTTATACATATACTTGTTAAATTGTTTAATCGACTATTTGCTACAGGCGAGTATCCAGAATCCTGGTGTGAATCTATTATAACAACACTTCACAAAAAAGGGGATATAAACAATGTGGACAATTATAGAGGTATAAGTTTACAAAATGTTTTAGGTAAAATATATTGTGGGATTTTAGTGGCTCGTTTGAATTTTTTTGCACAAATATATAGTAAAATTTCTGAAAACCAGAGTGGTTTTAAAGCAGGATACTCAACTGTGGATAATGCATTTATTTTAAAATCTTTAACCGATAGACTAGTTAAAAAAAAAAAAAAAAAGATATTTGTTGCATTCATTGATTTTCATAAATGTTTTGATACCATAAATAGACAAATTCTTTGGAATGTACTTAGAAATGGGGGTGTCAGTGGAAAATTGTATATAGCTTTTCAAAGTATGTATAGAACCGTTAAAGCATGTATTAGATGTAATAATGAAAGAAGTGATTACATATTAAGTTCAGTAGGATTAAAACAAGGTTGTTTGGCCAGCCCGATTCTTTTCTCTTTCTATATAGATGAATTACAACATATTTTAGATGATAGTGGCATAAGAGGAATTCAATTACACCCGTCTGAGACACAACTTTTATCTTTAATGTTTGCAGATGATATTGCTCTCCTTTCAGATACAGTTTCTGGTTTACAAAAACAGTTAGATACTTTGTCATTTTTTTGCGATACATATAAACTTAAAGTAAATGAAAGTAAAACAAAAATAGTTGTTTTTAAAAATGGTGGTACATTATGTAAAATTGAAAAATGGACTTATAAAAACAAGCAGATTGAAGTTGTTAATGCTTTTAGTTACGTTGGTTTAACATTTACAAGACAACTTTCTATGAAAAGAATGGTACACGAATTATGCATAAAGGGTAAGAGGGTTTTTATATCAATCTTAAAATCCTTGTATGATTGTGGCCAATTAAATAAGAAAGTATTTTTTAAACTATTTGATACTAAAATATGTCCTCAGTTACTTTATGGGCTGAAATTTGGGGCATGGGTAAATTTGAAGAGCTAGAACGAGTACAATATTATGCATGCAAACGCTTTATGTGTTGTAAACAAAATGCATCCAATGTAGCTGTATTAGGCGACTGCGGGAGGTATCCCATGTATTTAATATCCATTAAGAGGTGTATTAACTATTGGTTTTAAAATTATTAAAATGCCAAACGATAGATTAGTTAAAAAGTGTTACTTAATGATGTTTAATGATGATATACAGGGACATGACAATTGGGTTACATCTTTAAGAAAAATTTTACAAAGTCATGGTTTTGGATATGTATGGGAAAGTCAATCTGTTACATCAGATAAATACTTTATAGCACAATTTGAAAATAGGTTAAAAGATATATACCTACAAGAGTGGCATTCATCTGTAACCTCTAATGTAAAATTGTCTTTTTATGGAATGTTTAAGGAAAATTTCTCATATGAATGTTATTTAGATGTTCTAGACATTAGAAAATTTAGATATATATACTCAAATTTTAGAATAGGGTCACATGATCTTGAAATTGAGGTTGGTAGACATAAAAAGATATTGAGGGAAAACAGATTATGCAAAAAATGTTCTAAAAATGTAATAGAAGATGAATTTCATTTTTTACTATGTTGTGATTTTTATTCAGAACTTAGAAAATTATATTTACCGATTAAGTACCTAAATGCTCCAACCCGAAACAAATTTAATATATTAATGTCTACAAAAAATAATGATCTTATAAAGGGTACAGCAACATTTTTGTATTACGCTTTTGAAAAAAGGAAGATTAACAATTAATATGTCTTAGATACGAAATGATAATTAAGAAACTCCCAGAAAAATTTTTTATGCTTAAAAGTTATTTTCAGTTAAATTTATATAGTATATGTTTAAACATTGTGCACATGCTATAATTTTGTGTAAATTGTTTCTCTGTATATATGTTTTTTGCATGGGCCGGAGGCCTTAAAGCGAATAAAGTATTTGTATTGTATTGTATTAACAATAAAAACTTCGTTTGTGGCTATAAAAACAAAGATCCTGAAATTTATCAAGAATGCTATCTGAATCTAAAACAGTTTACTGTTATCTGAGCTCGTTTCTTATGATTAAAATAACAATTTGTACAGATGTACATATGCTTAACTATGCATAATACTGTTATATATAAGGGTCAATGCAAACAGATTGATTACAAGTTAGTCATAGAAAGAAAAGGATAACCTTTAACATAAAGAGTTATTCTGTTTGAAAAAACATCTGGATTTCCTGACTGTGAAGCTTTACAGTAAACTTGTTTGTTATGGTCGGAGATAACTGGTGTAAATGTAAATGTAGATAGTGTAACATTCTCCCTTTTCTTCTCATCGTCTCCTATATACCAGATAATTGTGGCTATAGGTCTGCTTTCACTTGCTGTACATGTTAATTTTTTAGATACACCATTTGTTACTTCTAGTGTTCCTGATGATATAGTGTTGCCATCCTTTAGTGTTACATTAGCTACCTTTACTGAAATACATGTATATGAAACTCCTTAAATAAACAATAAATTTCACAATTGCATTTTATTCTTATTTTGAAAGCAGAAGTTAAATGTAATGGGAGAATATACAAAAAAATGGCATGGATAAAATGCTACCATTATTTTTTACACTTTATAAAACTAAGAGATTACATAATCAACCAAGATTGCATAATGTAACAAGCAAATTTGTTGAATTCATATCCCCCACCAAGCACTGTTTATTACTAACACAACAACTGAAGACATAAGGCTTTATTTATATATATTAATCATGGTGTAAACAGTATTATTACATGCTTTTCGGTGGTTTATAGAAATATATCAGTGATATAAAACTGGTAATTTCACTGTTTGAAACAGTGAAATTACCACTTTGATAATTTCACTGTTTTGAATTTAAGCCCCTTACGTTGTTTCAGTAATATACCAGCGTGCACAGTACTGGGTACCAACTTAATGACGTGACGTCATAAATGACGTCACATTGTATTATTATTTGGCCCGCTTTTCATTCAGTATTAGGTTTAATGTCTTTTAAAACGTTTCTTTGCATGTCATAAAAAGAAAATTTGTTTAGTTTAGTGTAAGATTGAAATATATTTCACCTTGTGAACACCAAAAGTTTATATTTCACTCGTGGCTGCGCCACTCGTGAAATATACCTTTTTGTGCTCACTCGGTGAAATATATTCCGATCTTACACTGAACTAAACAAATATACTCTATATATTCTTTTTACATGAAAAATATTCAGGGCAACAACAGAGCCATAACTCTCTGTTAAATAGTTATATCTGGACATGCCAATAAGATGTAAATTGCCTTTTTGTATCGAAAGAAATAGCAATATTGCTCTATATACATATAACATAACTAATCAAGGGCTATAACTCTGTAATGAAGGGTCTGGTCTGAACAAGGCAACAAATTATGCACATCTCATACTGCATAACTAATCAAGGGCCATAACTCTGAGTTTAAGTGTCTGAACGGAACAAGGAGAAGATATGCTCATCTCCTCTTGGTATTTAAGGTTCCTATTAAGTTTCGTTGAATTCCAGCCAGTAGTTACAGAAAAGTAGGGTGGAAGCAATTTTTGCTCAATAAGCAAATGCATAACTAATTAAGGGCCATAACTCAGAGTTAAAAGGTCTGACTGGAACAAGCTAATGATATGCGCATCTCCTCTTGATATTGATGACTCCCATAAAGTTTCATTGAATTCCAGCCAGTAGTTGCAGAGAAGAAGCGTGAATTGATTATTGCTCTAAATGCATACTGCATAACTAATCAAGGGCCATAATTCTGAGTAAAAGAGTCTGACCGGCACAAGCCGCCAATATGCACATCTCCTCTTGATTCCGATAAAGCTTTGTTGAATTCAAGCCAGTAGTTGCAGAGAAGTATTGCGAAAACGATTATTGCTCAATATGCATACTGCATTACAAATCAAGGGCAATAACTCTGATTTAAAGCGTCTGACCGGAACAAGGCAAGATATGCCCATCTCCTCTTGTCATTGAAGGTTCCCATACAGTTTCGTTGAATCCAAGCCAGTTGTTGCAGAGAAGTAGCATGGAAACAATTATTGCTCTATATGCATACTGCATAACTAATCAAGGGCCATAACTTTGAAGTAGATATGCTCATCTCCCCTTGGTATTGAAGGTTCCCATTAAGTTTAGTTGAATTCCAGCCAGTAATTGCAGAGAAGATGCGTGGAAACGATTTTTGCTCTATAAGCATAATGTATAACTTATAAAGGTCCATAACTCTGCGTTAAAAAGTCTGACCGGAACAAGTAAAAAGATATCAGTTTTCTAACTAATGACAATTAGTTTTGGCATTTTTTTTTTTCAATATCAAAATTGTTTTCTCAATAACTAACTGCAAACTTTGCAAATAATAACCAGTTACCAAATGAAAATAGCTGCACTCATGGCATAAACTGTTTGGGTAACCCATTCCATCTTACTTCAGACACATTTTACTGTGAAATGATCATTTCATGTATAGATTAAAATGATAGAATTGTTATAATACATTAAATCTGAAAAATAGTTCTCACCTTTTACATATAGTGACACATATTTTGAAGACACAGCTTGACTTTCAGTCTGTATATTAAAAGCTTTACAATAAACTTGTTTCTGATTATCGGAGTATTCTGGTGTGAATGTAAAGCTTGAAATTGTAGTAGTTTCTCTTTTCTGCTCCTTGCCTCGAAAATACCAGATGATAGTTGCTGTTGGTCTGCTGACACTAGATGTACATGTCAATGTATGAGATTCCCCACTGTTTACTTCTAATAGGTTTGAAGGAAGTGAATTGCCATCATTCAAGGTAACAGTTGAAACTTGTACTGAAGTATGATGTGACACAAAAAGATTCCCCAGATGTTTAAGACTTAATACAAGTTCTGACCAAATGCCTTTTAGATTCATTGAAGTACATGTATATAACAAAACACTAAGCATTTTAAAATATCTCACCTAACAATATCAGAATGGTTTTCAGAAATAAATGAAGTTAAAAAGTAGCAAGCATTTTATTATGCCATACAAAAAGAGACATATACTTTAAGGAACAAGAGGGCCATGATGGCCCTGAGGTCGCTCACCTGTATATAGGCCCCTGGAGCGGGACCAGTTTAAACCCCAGGGCTTTTATTTGAACAAACTTGGAAGACACCCATTAGAAGATGTTTCATGATGTTAAGTTTTTAATTCACACACATAATGAAAAACAATGACCTCTGCCCTCTCAACCCCCTCCCCACCAGCCCCCCCCCCCCTCCCCCCCCGCAGGGCCAATTTTTACCCGAGGGCTTTAATTTGAACAAACTTGGTAGACACCATAAAAAAATGTTTTAATGCTAAACATCTAAGCTCTAGCTTATTGGGTTTTTAAAAGAAGATTGTATAAGTTTTTACTATAAAAATATAGTTAAAACAATGAAATCACTGGGGCGGGGACAGTTTTGACCCCAGGGCTTTTATTTGAACAAACTTTGTAGACACTCACTAGAAGATGTTTCATGCTTAATATCTAAACTCTAGCTATCTGTTTTTTTTTTCAAAGGAGATTTTTTAAGTTTTTGCTTTACACATATAAGGAAAATCAATGACCCCCAAGGCGGGGCATTTTTTATTTGAACAAACCTGGTAGACACACATTAGAACATGTTTCATTCTAAATATCTTAGCTCTAGCTCTTTGAGTTCTTTAAAAGAAGATTTTATTTTTTAAGTTTTTACTACATGCATATAGGGAAAATCAATGACCCCCTGGGGCAGGGGCCAATTTTGACCACAGGGCTTTTATTTGAACAAACTTGGGGCTTTTATTTGAACAAACTTGGTAGATACTCATTAGAAGATGTTTCATGCTAAATATCTAAGCTCTAGCTCTTTGGGCTCTTTAAAAGAAGACTTTTTAAGTTTTTACTATATGCATATAGGGAACATCAATGCCCCCCTTGGGCGGGGCCAATTTTGACCCAAGGGCTTTTATTTGAACAAACATGGTAGACACTTACTAGAAGATGTTTCATGCCAAATATCTAAGCTTTAGCTCTTTCGGTTTTTTAAAAGAAGATATTTAAAGTGTTTTTCTTTCGGGTGCCATGGCAACCAGAGTTCTGCATGGAATTAAATTCTTTGAGCAATTTTCTAAAGTGACCACCAAAGGAACATTCCTGTAAAAATTGGATGAAATTGGCTTAGTGGATTATTAGGAGATGTCATTTAAAGTAAAAGTTTACGGACGGACGCTTGACGAAAAGCGATCACAAAAGCTCACCCTATCACTTTGTGACAGGTGAGCTAAAAAGTAAGAAAAAGTTATGTTTATACGTTTGAAAGA